ATTACACATGACCTTTATTCAGGTATTGAAAGGAGGGGCTATTCTTGATTCCTGGAGAGAGGCAATCATATCAGTAATTGCCAAAGAGGCAAAGATGGCACTGTTTAAATTATTGGCCTAAAAATGTGCTTAATATAAATTATAGATTACTCACAGTAATTCAGGCACTACACATTGAAGAATTTTTACTGGACATTATTAGTTTAGATCAAACTGAATTGATGAAACAAAGACAAACCCATGAAAATATTCATAGAACTTTAAACATATTTACAACATCTTAGTGAGAAGACACTAGAAGCTTTAATAATGGCAATGGATGCAGAAAAGGTATTTTATGAGATGGGATTCCTGTTTTAGACCATTGAAGAGGTTTAAGTTTCATGAAAGGTGCATTGAGACCATCTGAACTTTATACACAAGTCCTATAGCAAGGACTAAAATCAATGGTTGCTTATCTAACATGATCAAATTAGAGAGAGGATGGTGCCAGGGATGTTCAGTAAGCTCCTTGCTGTTTGCTATTTTTGTGGAGCCACTAAGCCAGTGGATAAAACAAAACAACAGCATCAAGGGTATAGAAGTGGCAGGTCCAGAACAGAAAATAGAATTATTTGCTGATGATGTCCTGATTTATCTGGAAAATGCTGAGTCATCATTTGCTGTACTGATGGATGCTTTTAAGTATTTTGGCATGGTACAAAATTAATGTTCAAAAAACCCAAGTCGTATCTTTCAACTAGGGACCAAATCATACTAAAGACAGGTATAATGTTAATTGGAATATGATCTCTATAAGTATTTATGTATTAATTTACTGAAAGACATTGAAAAATTGACAAAACAATATCAAAGCTTAAATGGATTTGGGAAGATGGAATTTAATACCGTACCTGAGTTTGGTATCAAGAATGGAAGTGATTAAGATGATTTTTTTTTTTTTACCTCGGCTGCTTTTTTTCTCTCCAAATTTTCCAATTGAAGTGTCAGGAAAAGAATTTAAAGAGTGGGACAACATTATATCTGAATATATATGGCAAAGGCCTAAGCCAACAATAAAATATAGAACAATACAACTACCTAAGGGGAGCGGGGGTCTCGTGCTACCTTGTCTGAAAGTTATTTTGAGGTGGCACAGTGGACAGTACTCTGCAAAATGGAAGGACATT